TTTAAACATAAAATTATCTGTATGATTGATAAAATATTACACTTGTATATACGTGTGACTCAAGGGCGTTAAAATATCTTGAAAACACCGCATCAATTACTGTTTTTGAGCTTGTAGTTTGAGCATTTCTATTTGTATATATTCCTAACTTTAGTTATTCTTTTAGAAATTTAATCTGTTGTTCTGCTTCATCAGTCGCTAGGTTTACGTTAAAGTCATGAATCTAATAAATATTATAAATGTGAAAGTCTGTATGGTTGGATGTTTGGGAAATCAGCACGCGGAAACGACTGCACGGATTTGCATGAAATTTTGTACGCAGATAGCTTATGGGCCAGATTGGTTAATAAGCTTTTTTTTTAAGAGTTGCCACCTGTTAAAAAAGTTTCATTTATTTAATATGCGGGAACGACTGAATGGATTTGCATGAAAATTTGCACACAGATAGCTTATGACCTACATTGGAAAATAGGCTACTTTTCTTAAGAGTTGCCACCTGTTAAAAAAGTTTTATTAAATTAATACGCGGAAATGAGTGAACTGATTCGCATGTAAGTTTTCACACAGATAGCTTATGAGCTAGGTTGAAAAATAGGCTACTTTTTTAAGAGTTAATAATAATAACACTGTGAGACAAATGGTAGGGGTCAGTGATCGGGAAGGGTTCAAACTACCGGGGAAAGTTATATCGGTAAAAAAGAAGTTATACGTGTCCCGGCGTTTCGCTGGGTCACGTCTAGGAATCGAGATATATATATATAACTATCATATAGTGGAAATTGTCACCTTTGGTGGTCTTTTTTTGACATAACTCGAGAACCACTAGTCCGATTTTGCTCAAGCAAATTTAAAAAAATTAAAAATTACAATTCCTTTAATCTGTTTATATAACGTTTTTCTATATAATCAACAGTTTTAAAAAAATGTAATATTTTAGGCAAAAAATATTTTTTTTCTTCATACATTTATTTTTACCGGCCAAATGTTGATTATATAGAAAAACGTTATATGAACAGATTAAAGGAATTGTAATTTTTAATTTTTTTGTTTGAGCAAAATCGGACTAGTGGTTCTCGAGTCATGTCAAAAAAAGACCACCAAAGGTGACAATTTCCCCAATATGATAGTTATATATATATCTCGATTCCTAGACGTGACCCAGCGAAACGCCGGGACACGTATAACTTGTTTTTGACCGATATAACATTTCCCGTTGGTTTCATCCCATCCCGATTTTGACTGTCGCATAGTGTAATAATAGATTGGCGCTTACACACATGTTAGGGTTTGGCCGAGCTTCTCCTCCGACTTGTGGCGTGCGCCTTGATGTTGTCACACAAAGCGGAGGGACCTACAGTTTTACGACGACTCCGAAGGGCGATTGTATTTTTATGAGAAGCTGTTTTTTCATGGCAGAAATACACTCGGAGGTTTGCCATTGGCTGCCGAGGGACGAACGCTGATAAGAAAAATCTTTTTCGATATTTTTTGCGGTGTTGCTTTGACCAGGGCTTGAACCCAAGTGCTGATGAGTGAAAGCGCGCACTGCTTACCACTACACCCCAGCGGCCGACGAGAGTTACCACCTGCTAAAAAAGTTTAATTAAATTAATACGCGGAAAAGTCTGAACGGATTTGCATCAAATTTTGCAAGCAGATAGCATATGACCTACTGTTAAAAAAGTTTTAATTAAATTAATACGCGGAAACGACTGAACAGATTTACATGACATTTCGCACAGAGATAGCTTATGACCTATGTTGGAAAATAGGCTACTATTTGAAGAGTTATCACGTATTAGGAAACTTTAATTAAGTTAATACGTGGAAATGCCTGAACTGATTTACATGAAATTATGCACACAGATAGCTTATGACATAGACTGGAAAATAGGCTACTTTTTTAAGAATTGCCACCTGTTTGAAAATGAAATTTCGATTAAAGATGGTTTATGACCTGGACTGAAAAATGGGCTACTTCCTTAACCGGGTTTCCGATCAGAACGAAATTTAGTACACTTACTACGGATTTCGGAAGGATGGTCTTAGACTGAAAGTAAGTCCGATAACTCAAGGCCCCTCCCATACAAATTGGAATTTTCATATTACATACATATCTCTGGAAGTATTTGTGGGAGAGAACTGAAACTTGGTATAGTGATATGTATGTGAAATCAATGTTGCCATTAATCGGTTGAAGTTTTAATCAGTTAATTAATTCGATTAAATTCAATCTGATTACAGTTAATCATGATTAATTTTAATCCGACTAAACAGTTAATCGTAACCGCGATTAAAAAATTAATTTTTAATCATTAACTCTTAATTTGATCAAGTAGGTTTGGTGATTAATTAAGTTATGCTGGAATTTCCCTGTGCACACAAAGCAAGTTAATCCGGTATGGCTAAGTCGGGTTTCCTCATCAATCTGAGCAATTTGGTGTGCATTTTCATTAAAATATATACCAACAAACGTTTTACAAACTAGGTTTGTAAAAGTTCCCAGTTTATGTATTACTAATAACAATAATTATACTTTTTTTTATTTTGTGCTTTTTATAAGCGTAAAACACAAAATAATTACTATAACTGGTGTTTGGTTTCAAACTCGGACAAACTAGACAAATTAATCAGATTTTATTTTTAATTGGATTAACGATTAATGTTTTAAATTAATTAAACGTAATCGCAGCCAGCGATTAACGATTAAAAAAATGTTATCATTAATCGTACAGTTGATTACGACTAATTAATTTTAATCGTCAAACGCGATTAACATTTTAATCGTTAATTTTTAATCGTTAATCAGATTAACAGTTTGCCAACACTGTGTGAAATCATGTTCATATTCACGGAGAAAAATGGACGTTTTTGGAAAAGAGGCGTAGCACCTCCCATACTGACTGAAAGTTTCATATTGCATATCTCTTCAAATGTTTGGGGTAAAGCACTCAAGCTTGGTATGGAAATACATATGTATGTATGTATGTGAAACTAATACCATACTCATGGAGAAAAATGAGAGTTATTGGAAAAGGTGGTGTGGCAACTCCCATGCAAATTGATTTTTCTATGCTGCATATCTCTGGAGGTGTTTATTGCAGAGGACTGGAACTTGGCACCGAGATGTGTATACAAAATTAATTCCATACTCATAGAGAAGAATTTGTGTTATTCGAAAAGGGGACATGGTACTGCCGTACAAATTTACTGTTTTATACTCGTGTCTAGAGGTGTTCAGAGTACTGGGACTTGGTACTGGGGTATGTAAAATCAATTCTAAATTCATGGAAGAAGATTAGGGTTATAAGAAAAAGGGGCGTGGCACTTCCAGTACAAATTTACTTTTTCTTGCCACATATCCCTGGAAGTGTTTGTGGAAGACAGAATAAATTTCATTAAATGGAAAAGGGAGAGCCGGGTTCGACCTTATAATCTAAAGCTCTCTTGAGGCATTTGCTACAGTAATGAGAAGTGGTATTTTATCAAGGCCAGGTTACTAAATTTGAGTTGGAAATATTAGAACTCGCCGTGGAACCTCCAAGAAGGTTTCACGTTCACGCGTCGTATACCAGGAAACCTTTTAAGGTAAACTTAGAGGGAGGAGAGAGGAGATTTTATAATTTCATAGTTTTAAACGGCCTAAATACCTTGACTCGCTTAGAAAATAACGAGCTATAACGAAATGGGCACAGAAATAAAATCTAACATCATTAAATTATTTTTCCTATTTGTATAAAAGTGCGGGGTGAAACCCGCGGGTATAAGCTAGTACATATATATTTTGTTTGCAAAATGGGAAGCTAAATTCATTTCTTCGGCTTTTTATATTACTCTCGTCTTCTCTTTGGGCAATCTTATATTAGCTCTGATCAAGTACTCAATGAACTTACAGGTGTTTACACGACCTTGCATGAAGTTACGGGAAAAATGATCGCGTACTCCAAAATTCTGTAATGAGAGCGATTTTTGGAGAGTTGTGTAGAAAATGAAGTTGCAAGATTTTACTCGATGCTTTTTTTGTTCCCGTACATTTTCCTGTTACTCACTTTTTACTCTCGCTTAATATAGTAGTTTTGCCGTTTGACGTTTTAACAGGATTTTACACGAAAAGTATTGGATCAGAGCTATTATATAATACATATGTATATATACATATGTCCTTATATGTTCATCAGCTTTCAACGGACCCAGTTAAAATGTTTTCAGAATTGTTAAAATTTTCGCCTTCTTTTTTTATTAATAGACCACTAAACCTATGCCCAAATCCATGCTACGAATATCGAAACCACTTGCAACAAATGAGTTCATGCATATGTATGTACATACAAACTTGGCTATGTATTAATATAGGTACATAGTCGGAAGTAATAATCATTTGAACCGCATTTCCTCTTACTCTGCATATGCCTAAATGTATGCAACCATTTGCAATAGCAAGTAAACACAGGGTGCTTCTACTGAAATTAAAAATTTTCTGCTGCATTACACATGCTAAGCCCTTCGAAATTTTCTCCTGGGCTATGCGTTACAGCTTCGCAAATTTTACCCTACCGAAACCAAAGATGTATACACATCAAAAAGAAAAGTTTGAGATTAACGATAAGTTAAAGGGCTGCGAGAAATGATATTTGACTTTTGCGTTAACGGATTCATTATCTAATAATATGTACCAAACCCTATTGCTGAATCCAGAATTTTTAACAAGAATCGGTCTTATTCGACTAGTGTGCTGTGTGTTACTTGGCGGTTGATTCGCGGGCTCCTACATTAAAAATAAAAGACCAATATTTTGCAGGCTTGTTGTTGACTTCATGATACAATATATTTTCACTTTACCAAGGAACTTGAGAAAAATTAGACTTTCGACACGCCCTAATACATATGTCACAAAACGGCTCATAAGATCTCAAATTGTTCGGGGCCTTTAAGTAGGACTACAAAATCATATTCACATAGTTTGCTTACAGATCATTTATATTTTTCATTTTCTATTATAGATAAAGCATTTTGGCATGAAATCGCTATGAAACAACTTAGGAAGAACCTAAAGGTAGCCAAAAAGTCGCAAGAGAAAACTCATAAGGCCAAGAATATAATAATCTTCGTCGGTGATGGCATGGGATTATCAACCATAACAGCTGGACGCATTTTTAAGGGACAGTACCTGAAGCATGGTTCTGGTGAAGAAGAATTGTTGGCATTTGACGAATTTCCCTACACTGGATTGTCCAAGGTGAGATAAGAAATACGATTTTCACTAGGTACTAGTTTGTAATAAGTCATGCTTATAGACCTATAATGTGGATAAACAAGTGCCTGATTCTGCTGGAACGGCAACTGCATTGTTTTGTGGTAGCAAAACTGACTATGGCGTCATTGGCTTGGATACGACACGTTCTAAAACGAATAGCAATCAAGGACGTTTGAAGTCTATAATGGACTGGGCACAAGCAGAGGGCAAACGCACTGGCGTCGTAACCACGACTCGCATCACCCATGCCACACCGTCTGCCACCTATGCACACATCTACAATCGCGACTGGGAGTGCGACACCCTTGTACCAGCAGAATCAGTAGGAAAGTATGCAGACGTCGCCCGCCAATTAGTTGAAAATGCGCCTGGAAATAAATTAAATGTAATTATGGGAGGTGGATTGTCGCCGATGGGTGTACCGCGCGCCAACGAGCCGAACACGGTTCGCTTCGAAGGTGATAACGAGATAGTTTGCATTCGCGGAGATGGTCGCAACCTGGTGCAGGAATGGCTAAAACATCACAATAACGAATCGAGTGTGTTTGTACAATCACTGGAGGAGCTAAATGAGGTCAACTTTCAAGAAACGGATTACTTGATGGGTCTTTTCCGCAACAACCACATAACTTATGCAGTTGGACGTCAAGACGGTGAACCCTCTTTAAAAGAGATGACACAGGCAGCTATAAAAGTGCTCCAGCGTGGTGACAAATCTAAGGTGAAAACATACAGATATCACGTTACCATTTACCGCAACTTAAATTTCATTTTCAGGGTTTCGTGCTCATGGTGGAAGGTGGTCGTATCGATCAGGCACATCACCAGAACTACGCTCGCGCTGCCATGCGAGAGGTACTCGAATTTGATATGGCAGTTCAAGGAGCGCTAGATCTCACCGACGACGATGAGACTCTTATTCTTGTAACAGCCGACCACTCCCACGCGGTTACGCTTAATGGTTACCCAACACGAGGATCTGATATTCTCGGCTTCGCCAACAAGACCACTGATCGCATAGTGTACGAGACTATTTCGTACGCTAATGGTCCAGGATATTACGATCATTTAGCGAATGGTAGTGTTGGAGCGGCTGGGACTGTTTGGTTACCTCTTGAGTCATTCACAGCGCAACAACGTATGTCACCGACATATCGTCACAGAGCCACATTGCCGTTAAAGGATGAGACTCATGGTGGTGAGGATGTTATAGTATTCGCAAATGGGCCGAGTGCGAATCTGATTCGTGGCGTTTTCGAGCAGCACTACGTGGCATATGTTATGAGCTACGCAGGTTGTATGGGCCCAGCTAAATATGCTGACGATAGCTGCAGGGTGGACTTCAGAGAGACTTCAAGTGGGTCCAGCCAATTAAAACAGCATAGTTTTGTGTTTTTAGGGGCAATGTTACTGTTCAATTTATTTCATTCTTAGAACAAATTCCAAAACAATGTTTTGTAAATATTAATTAGGACAAATTTGACTTTTGTTAAAATAACGATATCAAAATCGTCCTAACTATGGTTGTAAATGTTATGTTTTTAATAAATCGTTAAATCGTAATTGACTATGTTAAGAAAATTAAATTTTTATCATTTACAGAGACCATATAAATATTGCATTAAATTAAAATTTAATTTTGCTATGGCAATGTTAGAGGTTCGTACTGCCAAGTTTAGGTTTCGAACCCTGGTCCGAGCGACATAAAAAAAAAGATTTTTTTCTAAAAGCGGTCGTTCTTAGGCAGACAATGGCAGCCCTCCGAGTATATTTTTCCCATAAAAAAAAAGCTTTTCATTAAAACCATTTGCTATTCGAAGCCGACGTAAAACTGTCCCATTTGTGTGACAACATCAAGGTGCAATCCCCAAATCGGAGGAGAAGCTCGGCCAAGCACTATCAAAAGTGTAAGCGCCAAATATTTATTTATTTGTCTGTACTGTTTCAACTGCGTATTGTGAAAATTTTATGATTCAAAAAATATGGCGGGTTGGATAGTCTCTTAAAAAAATGTTAAGAAAAATTATTTTCGTTCGGTTCGGTTAAATTCAAGTAAAATAAAATTAACAACCATTTTGCTAATGTTATTATATGGTACACATACTTAGGGCCAGTTCAATATCTGGTTATCACTACTTCTCAGTTAAACATCGTTTTTGACCATGGTGTAATGAACTGAAGGTGGCGCATTCCCGAAACCGCTACTTTGGTTTTGCCGACTTTGACATTTATGGCAATACGTAAACAAACTTTTTGCTTAGAAACAAGTGCAAACGTATTGTAAACATGTCTGTGAAGTTGGCATACGGTATGACGCAAAATGGAAAAAAAAGTTGTTCTGAGTAGCNTGAAAATTGGGTATGCCAGATTCACGCAGCATACGACATGTGGCAAAAAGGCAAATAAAAAGTTGTTCTGAGCAGCTTTTTAATAGTTCTAGAGTTCCTGAAAAGGAAAAAAAAAGTTCTACAAAATTACGCTAAAAAAAACTCTTTTTTCGAAAAAGTCGAAAATGTTAAATTTAAAAAAAAAAAAAAA